CTGACTACATCATTGTATTTGTCATTAGGTCCGCAGAATCATTTTATGCATGCCACCAAACGTGCTATTTGTCTACTGAATGCTTCTTTGTTTCACTTGCATATTCTCAAGAGCCATCCTATACATTTACAATTGGATGCAGTCTGTGGGGAATGCCTGTTCACATTTCGATTGATGCCATCCTGTCGTCGTGGGCAAAAATTCGATGATTCTCACTCCTAGCCATGTCACTAGTGTCGGTTGGCGCAATCATTCAGCGTAATGATTTGAGTTGATTCAGTTGCCTAGAAGGAATCACACATGTGAACCAGTAAAAGCAGCTTCATTTGAAGAATCGTAGTCGCTCAATGCGAAACGTCAGTAGTGATGTCCTTCACCTCAACGGCCCTTGATGCTACACCCACGGACTACGGCACTTTTTTGCCAAAGATTTAAAAGTGACCTAAGGTCTGGCTGCATAGGTTAAGTCGTGAAGCATATTTCTCAGGGTGAGAGAATTATCGTAAACTGCAAGTGGTAAATTATTTCTAAGACAACGAGCCGACTGTTGCAAGTAGGCACTAGATCATCATGCTCCAAGCACATAAGCGGGCAATTCAGAGAATCAGGTTTTCCCTCTGTGAGCGATTCTCGAAATGTTTGAGCGATTGACAGTTCAATGCCTTCTGTTCGGCATCTCGTAATGCTGTCTTAGACGCTTATGATGAAATCATTTTTTTTGATTTTCGATGGTTTTTCATTGGAAACTGAAAGAAAGCAAACCGAAAATTGACAATGCATTAGCGGAGCAGTTGATAAATATATATCGACGCTTTGGTCGTATTGGTAGTTATACGTCGCGCAGCGTGTGGTCTACATATTAGGTGTTATGAATAGCAAGCCAATAAGGAGAGCGCATGAATGACTCTACACGTACACAGAGAAATAAGCTTTTTTGATTCGTTTGTACTAAATCGATTCTTTTCTTTTTAAAAACCGTTAGTCTCAGGCATTGTGTAGAAGTTCGTGTGTGTTCTTAAGTCCAACTGTACATTTTTGAGCCACGCCAAATGCCATATCGGTTGAACGAGGAGTCGACTACAGCGGCGTAAACATTGCCATTCCTAATTTTTGTGTGTTAAGGGTCACAAGTTACAGTCGCAAACCACGCCGGAGCCACTGCATTGAATCGAGCTCAATTGCGCCGAACTAATACCCTCATAGACACTGAAGACCAGAGACGACGAGGAACTATCATCTACAAGCTTAGCTTAACCAAGTTGTTCATGCCGTGTACGTGTGCATTAAATTTAGTCACTGAGAGTTACTATGTGGGTTAGGTAGTACAAGTACAAACGTGGGAATGGTCAGTTGGATAAAGTGGGTACGTGCACAGAGGTGGAGGATCCAACGATACCGCATGGCTGACGGCCAGTCCATGAAAATTGGACGTTTGACTGCGACGATCGTATGCCTGCACGGCAATCGACACGATTCACTACACATTCAAAACAAATATACCGAATTCTTGAGTCAGACAATGGCCAAGTACTTCTTCCCTTTCTAAGTTGTCAAATGTTCAGTGTGATGGAACAGCCAGGCTTCAGGTATCAGTCCGTAAAGCGTCCTCATTACTACATCGTAAATTAATATTCCACATTTGTCACCTCCTCCACATAATCGACATTGTACTATCTGTGCAGATCCAAAAATCAACATTGGGAGCGTGATTAGTTTAATTCACCTAGTGGATTACGACGGTCACCTGAAGGCCTTTGTTCGTTTACGGAATTCTGCTGACTATTTAGCTTATTAGCGCTAGACCTGACATTTCCTTGCACGTAACTTAAGCAGACCTACGTGTATTAACTGCAATAATCCGAGCATGCAGAGCAGACGTCGCTTGGCGTCTCCCTCTCAAGTCTTGAATACATGATTATGATAATTCCAGCTCAAGCAGCACCACAATGTGTGCTTGTATTGCTGTCTTGCATGTTTAACTTGATCAGGTTTCTCTGACCGCTAGGGTACAAATCAGTAATTTGAGCACTACCAATGACGTTAATGCTTCTTTATTTTACCCGTCAAGGTATATTTCAAAACAACATTTGCGATCACTATTCACTGATTGATGGCTACATACTGCAACATGCCGATTTCAACACCACCTAGTCAATATGCTTTTTCAAACCTCCCTTATGCAGCACCTCACCACGTAGCCAAAACGCGCTCTCTGGACCCAAGTTTGCACGACCTGTGCATCCACAAGCCAGTTATTTGGTGGCCAGAATGGAAATTAGAGCAAATTTTGACCTAGACTTCTTACCTACTTAGATTAATCGACTAATAATTAAACATGAGTCCTGTGCGGAGTGCATGCTACCTGAATTGGTGAACAAATCATGGATTAGAAGCAACCCGAATGCCTGTGCCGTCGAAAATAAGCAAAGACAGGAAGAGGGATAAATTGAAAAGATGGTACCTTAATTCTGGTTAAAATGTGATAAACACTAAAGCAACTAATCAATGTGGAAAATCAAGAAATATTTGCAGCTTTAATGCGTGTCCCACACTCAGACCCATGTGCTTTCACGAATTTGCATTTTCAACTAATTTTAATTTAATATTACTGCATTAGAATTGGTAGTGTTAGTCTCTAAGAATGAATAGAATGTGAACGGATGATTGCAATGCTTGGCATTTCGACTTGACCTCCGTCTGAATTGCAGCCATCTTAATGAAGACTTCAGCATTTGACCATTTTCCATTATCCATAATCCTCTCTTTTATGTACACCAACTGTGACATTCATTTTGACCGTCACCTTTCTATTGGTCTATTCATTTTTGCTTGCCTTGGGACTGTTAATTTCTCTGTTTTGCACCTGTTATTGTTGTCCCAAACTCGTACTAAGGTCGTTTCATGATTTTGCAGACCATTTAGCAGTGGCTAGTCGATGGTGCAAAAGATTCCAGCTTAAATCTCCAACAAAAGAGCAGTTTGGGTTAAGTCCATTGAGTGCCTTTAATGCAGCCACCAGTTCCATGTTGGTTCGCAGTGGAAAACCCTGTTCTTCCAAATTAATCAAGTACTTCCACGTGGCATAATGACTCAGCGCCTGTTTTGCACAGATGACCTGTGGTTGCAGGGCACTTTCGTCACCCCAATCCATCGCAGTTCTCTCTTCTACTGGAACCAATTCTACATTGGCACCAAAACACGTAACCACTCCACGCATAGCCAATTGGAATTCGATGCTTGAGCGCTTGTCGATGTGAATGCAGTAGTAGTTGTTAATTCGATAGATCATTCGAAGGAGTCGAGCAATCTGACGAATGTCATCGTGGACCATCAACGTGAATGCTATGTCCATATCAGCCTGGGTGTCGAGTGCGATGGGGAAGACCTGCCGAAATTGGCGGCAGTATGGGTGAGCAGGAGAAATGAATTGGGCGAAGTCTTCCACCGTCTCCGGTGTGAATGGAACAATTGGTTGGAGTTCTCTGTGTTCAAAATAATTTACATATTAAAAAACAGCAGTGTTCCAATTGTTAATGGTGTGAGTAATTTGCCAAGTCGATGTCGACGGACACGACGGTAAGCGAGCAGAGTACCTAAAATAATGACCACAAGTGACTTTATTACTTGAACGTTGGAAGTAAATGGTCTTATAATTGTTTTGAAATCAAGTGAAATAAATGCATCATTGGCACCATGAAAATGAATTCGTGAAAGTAAATGTGCGTGATTATTAGTTGCGCCTGCAATCTTCCTCATTTTGGCGTGCGCTGTTGCAAACAGGTGCTTTGATTACATGCGGGTGAACTGAAATGCTCAAGCAGTGTCAAAATTTCGACGAAATGGCAAGCAGTATTGAGGAGTTGGAGAATGGACTTGGCCAATGTCTTATGCCAACTGGGTTAAGAACACAACGATTTGTTGAGAACTTTATGTAAGAAATTTGGGTGAATTAGAGAATTGCACAGCCTCAGCGGTGAAAAGGTTAATATTATGCAAATTCATTCGAAATTGGTACACTGGTAAAAGGGTGCACTACATGGACAAACGCAAATTGTGAGTTTGCCACTATGCATTGTGAATACAGTCCGTGCAGAATTAGCATAAGCTTTCATTAAAATTACAAACGCAAAAGCGTGTAGGGAGGTTGTCCGATGCGATGCACTGACAAGAAAACAGCTAAATCTGTTCTTTGTGTGAGTGAATTCGCTTAATCATTATGTGATCTTGTGAATTCAGTACACGCTGATATCTGCTGCGTCGTAAATGAAAAACAGTCACCAATGTGGAATACCAAGGGATGCTTTGAATGTCGAGTTATTCGAAACATAGCGATTTCTAGTCCACTCAAACAATGCAGTAGCAGAGCTTAAAATGTGTGTGAATACAGGTACACATATCTGGTTAGATGCATTATTTTGACTGGTGT